ACGCTGTGTCGCACCTGTTGGTGGTTCGAAACAGAAGATGAATGTGAAAGTGTTGAGGAATGTGTTTGGGATGGTGCGGTATGTATGTATCCGAAAAAAGAGCTGCAAGCGATTTCGTTGACCAGCGAGGAGTACCACAACAGCCTCATATTCAATGAAATTCAATCTCATGCGGTGTGTAGCAAGATTAAGGAAGAGGACGTGTGCTTACAGACGCAATCGTGTCTATGGTCGGCTGATAAAACAGTAAGTTTAGCATGGGAGGAGTTTATGCAACTCGTGTGGCTACAATTAATTTTTTGGGGGAAAATACGATGCGTGTGAATTTTATATGATGCAAATATGTGTTATTTTCCGAGATTAATAAGAATCGATCTGAAACTATATCGCATAAACAATGTAAACATTGCTATGAACATGTGATGTGATAAAAGTAACCTTTCGAGACTATGATAGCGACAAGTTGTTCACTATCATTAATCCCGGAATAGAAAATACACATTCTTCACATTTGCATAGTATCAAATTTCCACGTACAGTACTTGTCCAATGAGAATTTGGTCACCGATTGTCGAAATCAAGATTCATAATTTCCGAGTGAATTTTTCCGTAGAATTTTTTTCAACGTATTGATAATTTTAACAGTCGTAGTAGTAACTGTATAAGCTGACATTATCACAGTTTCGAACGAAATATGGAGTTTCGGAATAATCGGCGACTTAAGTTACTTTACACAGTCAACAGTTTAGTCATATAGTGCGACTCGCGAGCAAAGGCGAAAATCTCGTTTTTAACAATAAAGAATTCTCCATCTAGATGAGGAGTAATGTCAACAAATTCTAATACAAATGAAATAACTCTTATGGTTGCTATTTTCAGTGTATTCGAGATATATGGAAAGTCATGGAAAATTGCTGTGAGCCTCTGCAAGCGATTTCTAATAGGGCAGAGCAGTGCCGAAATCGATCAAGTTCGGAAACATTTTGCCTCACACTGAGCGCTACCTCGACTGTTACCACTACACTTTTTGAGAATATTAATCAATTAAATACCACACCTTGGCCGACTTCTCGGGGAGTGCAGCTCATCACGGTTGCCAGTGCTGCTGAGAACGCGACGCGAACTACTGCATCGTCATCGTCATTCTCAACTCCTGTGTGATACGGTAAGTTCTCAGAGTTGTGATATACGATTTTGGTGATGACGTAGCATGTTAACTGTAGTAGTAGAGTTTCATGAATCGGCGATTTTGAAGTTGTTGCGGATCGTTTGCTGTGGGTATGGATTTAGTTTATTCCCGTATTTCCAATAACAATCAATTGGTATACACGTGGTTCACCGTCGAGTTATATAGTTTTCCAGAGATTTCACCACAAGTAAAGTCTTACACCTTAGGCGTATGTGTTGAAAACTTATAACAATCAACGCCCCCATAGTTTTACACTGGAGTTTCACAACAACCCGTTTTATGTGAAGTGGCGTAAAACTCGGTGAAAAACGCGATATTCACGGTGATATGCAGTAGTAGTCCTAAAATATACTTTTCACTAGTGTTTTTCATATCACTAGGGTGGTGAAACTCCACTGTAATTTCACTTTTGCAGTAACAGGTTATTCAGCCAGGCGTAGCGAAGACAACATTGTATCTTCGAAGGCGTACAGTCTACAACTTCTCCTCGAGTGCAGTGGAGTGTTTCAAGCTGTTGAGTCTCGGAGTATAACCTTGTGCATGCGTGCACTAGAATTTCACCCTAGTGATATGAAAAACACTAGTGAAACATGAATTTCGCCGCGAATATCGCGTTTTTCGAAAACGCGAAAACGGGTTGTGAAACTCCACTGTATGCGATAAGTTTTTGATGGCGAAACTCTCCCATTTTCAGTTAAATTGTTTCGAATGTTAAGATTAATTTGTCTCCTGTCATTTCGTGCAGTATGGGCGTCACCGTGGGAACTGCTGACGGGTGGTAGCTGCGTTTGGGTTGACGGTTTGGGGTGCGAAATGTCGTATCACGCTGAATGTGATGCATACCACACTTTACGAGATGTGGATCTTCGCAAGCTGAACGCGCTGGATTCTTTTTACTACGAAACGCGCTGTAACTACTGCTCAAATATAACGGATCAGCAGAAGTGTTTATCAAGTGATATGTGCACATGGACTGCGGGAGCATGTTCTTTCCCTAAGCACATAGTCGCGAGTATGTCACTAGAAGATTGTGAACTTCCCCCCAAGGGTGTACAATCAGCCAGCTTCATTCAGCATGAAATCACCGTTCATAAGGCTTGCAGAGATATTGGAAATGAAAAACTCTGCCGGGAGAATAATGCGTGTCTGTGGAATCACGGAAAAGTAAGTTGCGACAGTGAAAATGTTGTTTTTCATGTTGTTGATTTTTTTTCAGTGTTCTCGCGATATATGGCTGGTTATGAAATCGTGTTGCCCATGGCTTGAGCCCATTTACTCGAAGGCTTTCGCGTGTCGTCAGAAAAGTTGGTCACCTGTAGAATGTGTTAGTTGATTTTTGTCATATCGTGGATATACAGTATTTTTCATCATTATTATTATCGAACTCGGTCTGTGATTATTGTTATTGTTGTCAAGTCTTGAGTCGATCTCATTTTCCTATTGAGAGCTCTTTCCATGAAGGCTTCAAGTAGTATTGCGTTTGTGATAGTTGCGAACGCACTGTGGGTGCACAGCCTTGGCTATTTCCAACTGCAATACATTGGAGTTTCACCCGTTTTACGCGGAGTGGTGAAAAACGCGATATTCGCGGTGATATGCAGTAGTCGTGAAATATGTTTTTCACTAGTGTTTTTCATATCACTAGGGTGGTGAAACTCTGTCGATATGAATACACGAATGCCGTACTCCGAGTAAGCGCAAATCTCGAGAGCTCAATGATTGGATCTTTTGAAAGGTATATGTACCTACCAACCGTCTCTCGTCAGTGGTCCACGTATGAGGACATACTCCAACCTGTGTGCTCACAGAGGGACATAACTCCAGATCAGCTGAGAGTAGCATGCGAATGATGTGGATCAACTCGATGAGAAGCTTGCCTAATTCGTTAGGAGATCCTACAAAGTGTGGCTGAAGTTTACACGAGAAAAGACCGAGCGGCTCAGTAAGACATTGCTTGTTTTCGTCGATGCATTTACGACCCGGAAAACTCAGCGCATTTACTGCGTGTTTCGTTTGGCACTAGACAAAATACTACTTCTATTGCTGTGTACTAGTGGTGATATTGGAGTTTCACAACCCGTTTTACGTGAAGTGGTGTAAAACTCGGTGAAAAACGCGACATTCACGGTCATATGCAGTAGTCGTGAAATATGTTTTTCACTAGTGTTTTTCATATCACTAGGGTGAAACTCCAATGCTTCCACCCGTAATAGTACTACTGATGTCTACTGCAGTATTTTGAAAATATTGCCCGACGCAACCCAACAGTTTGATCAGTTTCTATAAGGAGTTACCGAGAATGTTGTGGAAGTTGCCAGTCGAAGAACGATCCTATTTTCTCGGAGTTGCTGTTCCCGAGATGGCCAAACGTGTCACAGAAATCGAGTCTATCATTGGAGCGAAAGTGAAACAGATTATTGTCGCTCTGTATGCTCACTGGTTTCCTTGTAGACGATTATTTTATTACGAAAACGCCGGGGCGGTGGAGAAACGCGAACAGTACTTTTTACACCGTATCAAACATCAGCGTTGTTGTCTCTGGCGTTCTTTGGTGTGCCCATGTAAGCTGGTTATGATATTCGTGTTGTGAGGAATGCTATGTGGTTTTCCGTATTATTGTTTACTCTACTGTGGAGCACAGTCCTGTTTCTAGTTTAGCCCACAATTTATCTATCGGACGCGTATAGACTCCCACGAGCTTACTCGTGTTGTATCGAAGTCCACGTTGCTATAAAACGACAAGACTTGTCTCGCGATGGAGGCAAGTCTATAGCATTTCCGGGTCAATTTATTTATTCTGCTCGATTATTCAGTAATTTACCCTTTATTTTGGAGAAAAAATTCTCTCCATGAGTTGCCCGGTGTTTTAGTGAAATAGATGATCATCCGACACTCATTAACAACCACTATTATTAGAGCTTTTTCTCCAGAAAAGTGGGTGAATTTTAAAAGATTCGGGAAACTTCGAATTGATCTGGAAATGCTATAGTGTGTATGAGGGCGATACTAGACTTACTATTTACAGCTCCTTATACTACTATATGATGAGTAGTTTGAAACTTTTCACCAACTTAAGAGTTGTTCATTCAGAATTGAGATTCGTCATAGACTGACTCTACGTGGCGTCTAGAGATGAATGCTAAATGTTGATTTGCATAACTTCAACAAATTCTTCAATTTGTATGTAGGTATTGGCCCGACGGTGACGATGGTATCGGCCGACCGTTCGTGCGGTTCAACTTCGCACATTTCTTCCACGATCGCCACAGCCAAGTTGGCAAGTTTCGATGCATCGTTCTCTACTTCAACCAGCAGTGCAATCCCGAGTGCCTCTCGGAAGACCGCGAAATTTCTATTACTCGTGTTCGCGGCACTGAACAGTGAGTGCACTAACACAATTCTTCAACGCCCGAATCTGTCTCTCTAGGCACATGGGCGAATGGTGGTGTTCTCGAAATGTGATGATGTCCAAACTAACAGTCATGATTTGCTTTCCCATGGCTTGCCCGAAGCCTCGTTGTTTAGATCCACGCTGATACAGATCGTATTGAGGACGCTTCTGGTCTACTACAGGCGGATTTTGCCAATTGCAGAGTTGGTGGTGGCGCGCTGTCTAGTGGTTGCGTTCAGGAAGAAATACGGTGAGAACATGAAATGCCGGCCGCAGTGTTGGCATAAGGACTCAAACATGCTATCGGACTTCACCCCTTGAACCACTCGACAATGGGATGCGGGTTACAGACTTCGCTCTCTCATTGTTGGTCCCCCTTGCTGAGTGATCCGTTTGTGCGCTCTCTCGCCCATAGTTCACGCACTTGCCAACGGACCCTTGGAAGGGTTTTAGGCGTATACAGTATGTTCGAGTTCCTCAGCTGAGTTCAGGAGCTTCCTCTCGCGCTGTTTGATACAAAGTGAACAAAATGATCGAAAAAATCTGCAAAATTCCATCAGTGTCATCAACACCGGTAGATGACCATGTTCATATTCTCGAATTATCAGGTTCATGATTTGCCCCGAGCTTATTCTTTCCATCTTAGTGGGAGCCGTTGACCCCTTGGCCGACTACGAATCCATGTACATACATGGCGCTATACAGTACGAGATAATCTCACTTTCTTGCCATGTCTAAACGATTGGCTTTGCTAGATTCACGGACTATACAGGTTATGCTTCCTCATTTTCATGCAGCGGTTATGTAGATAAAGTCGCAGCACAACAGTCTGACTGTTTGATTGTCATGGATGCTCTCCATTTCGGCCGAGATCCGGTCAATCAATCGACGCAATATGATCCGAAGTGAGTCTATTGTACAGTCCTAGGGATATTTAGTCCTCTTTCTAGACACATACTGCGAGAAGTGAATAAGTGTCATATCGCTGTAACGGCTCCTGGCTTGCCCGAAGGCGTGGCTCTGGCAACGGGCAACTGGGGCTGTGGTGTATTCGGTGGTGACCCTCAGTTAAAAAGCATCTTACAGGTGAGCATCCGACGGCATGCTATTGATCACACTGCTGTGATGCTACCACGATTTGTTGTACACTTGTATGAGAGATAATGGTTCGACTCTTCAGTGGCTGGCCTGTTCGGTTGCTGGACGAGACATGAACTACTTTCCCTATGGTGACTCGAGAGTGGCCGAGTTGGATCGAGTGGCCCTCGTGGCGGAACAGGAAGGGTGGACTGTGGGGGACCTAGCAGCCAAGATCCTCTTGTATGTGGCCAACTGGGGGATAAGTTCCAAGACTCAGACTTTCAGCATCTTTGTTCCACTTACTGTGAGACTTAGCGGAGAATCCCTATGATGTGAATAAGCAGCAGAATGCACCCTCGAGCTCTCCTGACTACTACCTACTGTTACATTTCTCAGGTGGTCAACTTCTCCGACCAGGTCTCATGGTTTGTTTCATCACATGCTGCGCGGGGACTTTCAGCGTGGAATGTGCGAAGAGTTCCCGTCAAATGGGAATGAGAACTCACAGAAT